TGCTCGCTCCTCTAGCTTATGGGAAATTTGGTAGCAGCATTTTGGTGACAACTCAAATGGACTCAGTTGCAATGAAGATTGCAAATATCATTAAAGATAGAGAGAAAATATTTAGATTAGAGGGCTTGAAGGAGCATGAGTGTTTGCAGCTCCTCAACTCTCATGCATTTGCTGGTGTAGAGAACCCCCCTGATGATCATAAGAAATTAAGAGCCATTGCTGGAGAGATTGTTAAAAAGCTTTTAGGATCTCCATTGGCAGAAAAAGTCATTGGCGGCGTTCTGAATGGCGACTTGGATGAAAGGCATTGGACAAATGTTTTAAGTAGTGGTTTTGTAAGTGCAGAATTGAGCTACTATGGCATCTTTCTCATTTTAAAATTGAGCTATATGTTCCTCCCTAAACATCTACAAAATTGTTTCGCATTTTGTTCTATATTTCGACAAGATTATTGTTTTGATAAAGATGATTTAGTCAAAATGTGGATTGCATTGGGTTTCATTCAGCAACCACATGATCAAGAATGGACTATGGAGGATATTGGAGGAAGGTATTTTGATGTTTTGGTTAAAAAATCTTTCTTCGATAAGTTTCTAGATGGACGATACTACAAGATGCATGATTTAATACATGAATTGGCACAATCAGTTTCCATACATGAATGTTTAAGAGTTGAGGATGTTACAAAGTTGCCTTTTATAATTCCTAAGACTCTTCGACACTTGTCTGTTAAAACTCCAAATCCAGACATCATAAAAAATATTGGGGAGTTTAAATATTTGCATCCTCTTTTCTTGCTCTATGAAGCTTCTAATCAAGATCTTTGTAGTGCACTTATTGAAATATTTAAAGCATCGAGAAGCCTACGCTTATTTTACGTATCTGCTCCTCGCTTGAAAAGCATAGACTTATCACAAGTATATGCTCCAAGCTTGGAAATGATACCTGAGGAGATTGGAAATTTGATACATCTTCGATACTTAAATATTAATGATTATAATTTGACTATGCTGCCAAGATCTCTAGGTAATCTCTATCACTTGCAATACATAATCTATAATGGGCTACACCAATCTAAAGGTGATTATTTTTTACCAAGTGACATTAATAACCTCTCTAACTTGCATTACTTGAAAATGTTTGAGAATTATGTTTCATCGATATGTGGGATTGGGAAGCTAAAGTCTCTTCAAGAACTGCATATGTTTGATCTTAGAGATGTGAGTGGTTATAGAATTGGGGAGTTGGAGAATATGAATGAACTTTGCAAATTAGGAATCAATCGCCTTGAAAATATTAAGGATGCCGAGGAGGCTTCTAGTGCCAAATTATGTGCCAAGGGGAGGCTCACAGATTTAACCTTATGTTGGAGTAACACTGATTTGAGGAGCACCGATTTGGATGAGAACATACTCGACAACCTTCACCCACCAAAATATCTAAGGAATTTGAGCATAAAGAGATGCATGGGTGCAAGGTCTGCAATATGGATGAACAATGTC